TGGTTGCCCCCTCAGGCCTCATTAACTTTTTCTTTTGCGCCCTTTTTCTGGTAATTTACCCTGAAGATAAATGATCATAAAATACAAACAAGAAAATATACATGTAGACGCAGTGAGAAAAGATTTAAAATAGAAACTTTTTCATTAAACAAAGACTATGGCCACGATTGGTGACACTTTTGTTTTTTATTTTTTAAAACAAAAATATTAACAAAATTTAGGGGTCAAATTGTGATTTTAACAAAATTTAGTGGTTAACTATAATTTTAAAAAAATTTAGGGGTCAATAAATCCATACACTTACTCTTATTTTGTTAGTGAACATAACCCATTCACAACTTTTGTTTTAGTAATGACCATTGTTGATGGTCGTTTTTGTACATGGCCCATACGAGGGTCTAGGCCTAATAATCCTGTCTTGCGACTCTATTAGGCTCATTCCGTAGATCCAAACCACGCTCGAAGAACTCGCGTGGGCCGTGATTTGGAGGACCATGGGTCATCAAATGGGGTGATTTGTTTCTTAGTCTGATCCGATTTTGAGTCTTGTTTTGGGGATTTTAAAATAATCGGGCTAAGGAATAAGTCAGCAATGGAGAACTTAACTTTAGGAATACTTTACCTCGTCCTTTAGGAGTCTTAAAAGTCCTTTCCTTAGCCTTTGGAGACGCAAAAATCCAAAATTTAAGCTATAAGGCCTTCCCCTCCAACGTCATCACATGAGCATTTTTGTTCTGGAGCCAGCTGAAGTTCGTCTTTGTGCTAGTTCTGAAGACGTAATGTGGATGCCGCCACGGAGATACTTCTCATGCTCCAAGAGACTCCTTTATGAACAAAGATACCTCTCATGCTTCGAGAGATTCCTCTGTGTCTGAAGGTTCTTCCCGTGCTCCATGGAGGTTGAATGTGTTAGGTGCTCTAGTGACAGCTGTTTAGCCAAAAATGGAAGGCGGTGATCTGGAGCTAGTCTGGCGTGCATTTAGACCTCTGAGAATAGAAGCATCCATGGAGCACCTGACTTAGTCAAACACTCCATGATCTCTAGACCTGGCGAAGGTCCAACATCAATGAGAATTTATGATTTGGTCTCTAAATACACTCATTTTTTACCAATTTGTTTGTCAAACAGTAAAGCCACCTAATGCAGTTGTTTTGGAAGGAAATAGTTCGTATAAACCTCTATCAGGGCGGATTGTATAGCTCCAGTGTAACCGCCAAAATCTCCCAATCTCTTCCTATAAATACCCTCATTCGCTAGCAATTCAAAAAAAATAAAAAAAACAACAATCATAGGAACAACAATATTCTTACACCAATTCATCTCGAATTCATTCTCTTCCTTAGCCAAAAGTATGAGTGATTTTTCCCAAAGAGTTCAATTCTTTTAAGCTAAAGACTTAAGTTCTTCGAGCTTGTGCTCTTCAGGCTCGAAGATCTTTGAGTGAGTTTTGAAATTCTACCCAGATTTTGAGTGTTCATCCTCAAAAATCTCAAAATACTTTTGTTGATCCATCCAAACTCATCTAAAAGCTAGATCTGAAGTTTCTGAGGTTTCTCTAGAAGTTTGAAAATCTGCCTCCGTGGCTGGACTCCGCTATTACGGAGCACGCTTTCCAAAAACTGTAAAACTTCACCTGCTGATACCTGCCTTTGGAGGCAACCCGCGTTTTCCCTCTAAGTACTTCTTTATTTAGCCTTATCCACACCATACGAGTCTTACACATGCAACGGAGGCAACCTGTGCGTGTCAAATCTACCTTTCTGAGTCAAATCTCCATTAATTGTTCAGTTACTCCTCCCACCATACTTCGTCAATGCGAATTCCAGGACTGTATCCGAGTCCTCCCAGGTGCGAAAGTTGGCCTCTTGATCAAGTGGCGACAAAGTGGACCTTAGAATCCATTTTCTTCGGCTTACTTTAGGCCTAGCCGATCCCTTCTTCTCTGTTGGAGGCACTATCGTACAATCTCCTCTGTGAATGATGCGTGTTTGATCTGCGTCGGTAGCAACACCTCCAAATCTTGTACTTGCACGTGTATATCCTTTACATGTCATACCTGACGAATCTAGCGGGCCCTGTCATGACCAGAAAAATTTCTTGAAGTTTTCTGTATTATAAGTATGAATACTTTAATGAAAAGTATTTTTTGATAATAATATTGAATAGCAAATTATAAGTTAAAAATCATAAATTTCTAAGGCATGATGCAGTTACCGTTTTCATACTGTAATCAAGAAAGAGGCTCAGAATGTTGTGTTAATCCCATAAGAGGACAAACACATAAATATTAAGTTTAAGGAATGAAAAAGAATTAAAAAAAAACATCAATTCTAGGTTTTAGAAACAATCAGAACGAAGAACGGATGAAAAAGGGGTTCGAATGGGCAAACCAAGAAAATTGGGATTTTTTACCGATTAGGGTTGACCGAGTCAAAATTTATTGACCAAGAGTCAACCAATAGGTCACTCTTGAAAAGTTATTAAAGGTTGAGTAAAGTTGACCAAGTTAACCAACTGTCTGAAAAACGCAGGTAAAACGCGCACCGGAAAGGTGTTAAACTGAGCCGAAAAAAGATGACTATTATAAATGGATGGTTGAGATTATCACAGTCGGCAATGGTGGTTTCTGGTGAATTTGGGTAGTTACCGGCCGGTGACTCGGTAGTTACCAATCAGTAACTGGTATCTTGGCAATATCAGTATCTTGAGCAAATACTAGTGACTCGGTTAGCGCCAGTGGCGGTGACTATTCCCACTAATATTGACGGTTGTTTGTCGGATATCAGCGGATAGTTCAGTTAGATACCAGTTTCGTGGCCGAGTACCGACAGGTATCTCATTTGGATATGGGTATTATGGCCGGTTGTATCATAAGGGTATATTTGATATTCTAAATATAATGTAATGATGTGCTCATGATATTGTAAGAGTTTAAGTCTACTAATATATGTGAATCCAAACTTAAACCTTGTGGCAGTTCCTTTTACAGCCCTAAAATTTTCAATCAGAATCAACACCTAAAATATCTACCCACTAGTGAATGTACTGATCTGGTCTTGTAGTCTTGAGCCTCAAATGCACAAGATTGAGCTAAAGTCCAAACTAGTGAACGTTGCCAATTCCACCTCTACATGGATATGAGTACGTGATGAGCAGTGAATGGATATATATGAGCACCGTAGCTTACAGACCTTTGTCTCTTGGGTCAAAGATCTAACGGTCAGCTTAGAGTGGCACCGGACTTTGGCACTAAAGACACAAAGTAGCGGCGATATAAAGAATAAGAAGAAACCTAAAGGCTCCTGAGAGAGGGACGATTTTTTCCCCAAAGTAGAGTTCTAGTTTATCTCCCTTGTCTCAAATTACTATGGACAATTTTCCAATATATTCATTTGCCCAAGCACATGTTTCCTAGCTACTAGAGTCCGTTAATATTAGCAAGGTAAATATAACCAGTATGTTAATTTTATATATTGAATTAAAATTTTAAAGCCGACGAACAAAAAATTTTTTTTTTCTTTTTGTCAAATTTATTCAATAATCTCTGCAGGGAAGGAAAAAGGTCAATAATTTATGGTGAAAACTTTGGAAAATGAAAGAAAAAGGTCCTCAATAATCTAAAAACCGCCTTTATGACTCTTTTTACTACAATACTCTCAAATTTGTCATCACACGTGTTTAACGTGTCATTTTCCATCAACCATATTTAACAGAAAAGAAAATTTACAAGAAGTCTAAAGTTCAAAAGAAACAAGATGTTACAAAGTGAAGTTCGGAAGACATTTTGTGACCCTAGTTAGCTTTTCGTTCGAGCGGGGTAATGTGAAGTTTGTCCCCCCAAAAAAAGTTTTTTTGCAAGTTGTGCTTAATTTTTCAGTCTCTAGCATATTTCCTTAAAATTCTTCGGAAATTATTGAAACGCTGGTACCAGGTTTTTTTTTTTTTTTTTAACTTTTTTTTTTCTTTGTACTTGAGTAATAGTTACGGCTAGGCAGCTAAGGACAAGGCCTTCTTTGCTTTAGCATGGGGGCTAAAAATAAATTCAGAAATAATAGGAAATAGACCAATGTAAAAAGCTTAAGAAAGTATATAGGTCAATTTTTAGTTATAGAAATTAATAGGTCATAACTTGTTAAGTTATGGTTTATAATCAGATAAGTTATGGACAAACTTATTAAGTTATGGTTCATAACCAGATAAGTTATGTACAAACTTGTCAAGTTATGGTTCATAACCAGATAAATTATGGACAATAACTTATCAAGTTATAGTTCATAACTAGACAAGTTATGGACGAAAACAGTAATTTGGCCTATTTATTAACTTATGTAAACTATTGACTTATTAATTTTAATTCATCTCAAGTTTTAGCCTATTTCCCTCTTTCTCCCAAATAAATTCTACAAACTAAAGCAAAATACCTCTAAACTCTTAGCTTTGTCATCCTTTAAAAATACACCTGATCAGGGGAAATTTTTAGGGAATTCATAAACAATAACATTATATTATTATTAATGACAACCGTACGCTTTAAATATAGTAGTTGAATACTGTTAGAAGATTCTTTTACATTATAAAGGTTGCATGATTTAGTTAATGATACTTCAAATTTATAAGCCATTGAAGTTTGGAGATACTATATCGATTCGGCAAATTTATCCACTGTCGCATCTTCTTGATATATGCTTCAATCAAAGGGCCTACGTGAGAACTAATTATTTTTGTACATTAAAATTATTTTCCCACCTGGTTATTTTAAGTAACACAAACTCGCACAAAAACCTCGAGTGATTTTAAAGGATGATATATGTGGTCAGAGAGCAACAACCAATGGCTTTTTCACCTACCTCTCTCTCTCTCCTCCTCATTGGATGTAAATTCCTTTTCAATTTTTGCTAGAAATAAATACCTCATAAGTCAAGAGATCCATGCAACACCCCAACACAATCAACCTTGCATAGAACAGACCTTTTCTCAACCAATCACTAAAAAAACCACCATGCCAGAAACATCAAACTTGCAAGAGAACCAAAGCACAACATCATCTAGTACTCGAAAATGGCCAAAACTTTATGCCAAAAATATCATGTCAGAGATAAAAACTCAACAAAGATTAACTGTTCCATTTGCTGTGGTGAACTTGACATTGTTCCTAAGGATAGCCATTACAACAGCGTTTCTAGGCCGGCTAGGAGAGCTTCAGCTTGCCGGGGGCGCGCTTGGCTTCACTTTCGCTAATGTCACGGGCTTCTCCTTCTTGGTTGGGCTATGTACAGCCATGGAACCGATATGTGGCCAAGCCCATGGAGCTAAAAACGTCAAGCTCCTCCACAAGACCCTTCTCATGGTAATTATTTTGTTGCTGCAGATGACAATTCCGATTTCCTTCTTGTGGATGCATGTTGATAAAGTCCTCATCCATTTCGGCCAACAAGAAGACATTGCAATCGTCGCGAAAAAGTACCTCTTCTATCTCCTGCCAAGCTTAGGAGTCACCTCATTACTTTGTCCTCTCAAGTCATACTTGAGCTCACAAGGCATAACGCTTCCTATTGTGCTCAGCTCAACGCTTGCACTTGTTTGTCATGTCCCCATCACAATCTTTCTCTCCAAAGCCAAGGGTCTTGGAGGGGTTTCTATGGCCTTTTGGATCAGTGATCTAATTATTTTGATTATAATAGCCACATTTGTGTTTGTGGTGGAACACAAAAAGGAAGGGAAATGGAAGGAAGGTGGGTGGTGGGACCAAGGGTTTGAAGATTGGAAGAAGCTTCTCAAGCTTTCAGGAGCATGTTGCCTCACAACCTGCCTCGAGTGGTGGTGTTCAGAGATCCTAGTCCTTCTATCAGGGAGGCTTCATAACCCCAAACAAGCAGTTGGGATCATAGTAATCGTGCTAAACTTTGACTATCTTCTCTACTCTGTCATCATTTCCCTCTCTTCTTGTGCATCAAGCCGTGTGTCGAACGAGCTAGGCGCGAATAGATCGGGGCCTGCCCGTTACGCAGCCTATGTGTCTCTTGAAGTGAGTCTGATCCTAGGCTTCATAGGTGGCTTGTTGATGGTTGCAGCCAGGGGAAGTTGGGGGGCTTTGTTCAGCCATGACAAGGGGATTATAAGAGGCGTGAAGAAGATGTTGTTGTTGATGGCTTTGATTGAAATGATGAATTTCCCTTTAACAGTTTGTGGAGGAATTGTTAGGGGAACAGCTAGGCCATGGCTGACTATGTATGCAAATTTTGGGGGGTTTTATCTCCTGGCTTTGCCTTTAGGGGTGGTTTTTGCCTTTAAGCTTGGGCTTGGGCTTGGTGGATTATTGACAGGGTTATTAATAGGGGTTGCTGCTTGTCTAGTTCTGCTGTTGGTGTTTGTTTTCAGGATCAAATGGGATAAAGAAGCCGGCAAAGCACAAATACTTGCCTCGGTTAACGTTCCTCATGCCTCTGGCTCTGAGATGAGTAGCGATGGGGATCACAAAACGGTAGAGACAGTTGATAATCACCAAGTCCGAGAATAAGAGAATTCTTTGATGGGGTAGCAAAAAAAAATAAACAAATGGGTACTGCACAATTCTAAACCATCAAATTATTATTGTGTTATGTTGAATTCATATATATTATTTTTATTATAGTACAATTCTCATGTGATTTGAATAGTTTCAAAGACTTTTTCTTTCCCTTTCAAGGAATCCTCTATGAGAATATACATCTTTTGGGGAAAAACGAAACGTTTCTTATGCAGCTCAAGTTCAACAAATGCACAACTTAAAACGACAAAATGCTTTAATACAAAACGCAGAATGATTAGCAGCTGCCCTATAAATGAAATAGGGATAAACCCAATGAGGTTTTTGTCCTCTCTAAGGAGGTGAGAGTTGTTCTTCTTCTTATCGGGCTATTGTTTATGCATGCAACTTTCATGCATCAGGAAAAAACCAATGTAGAGGCTTAATATTGCATGTGAAATATATGCATATCCGCAGACAATTAAGCTTGTATTTTCATGCCAAAAAAAAAAGGTTTCATCATGCAACGAATGAGGAACATCATGAACCATATTTAACAAAAATTCATAATCACATGAACGATTCGAACCAGTTTCGTGGATTTTCAGAAAGATACTTTACAGTACTTTCATGGATTGCTTAACTCGTATGCAAAATTAAAATCTCAGAAGAACTTTCTTTGATCCATCTTTAACCACGAAAATAATGTCACAGATTAAATAGAAAATAATCATCATCAAATCCAGCTCTTTGGCTTTCTCACACGGAATCCAAGGGTAGTCATTATTCTCTGACCGGGGAAATTGACTTCTTACCATTTGCCAAGAAGCAGATAATAACAAGTTGTAATTTCTCCACTAATAATACCTGGAATTATGAAATATGCTTGTGCGCAATGCTGCTAAATCCGTCAATACGAGTCTACGACAAATAAGTTGTAAAAATTAGTTAACAAGAAGGTTTTATTATAAAATAACTTTCTAAAACTTTTAGGATTATTATCACTGTTATTCCTGAATTTTATGTTCATTTTTAGTTTACCCTCTGAGTTTTTAAATCTCTCACTTTATCTTACAGACTTTCAATTGTTCCCAATTGACTCTTTTTATTATAATTACTATTAAATACAGATAAAAATAGAAATAATATAGCCACGTAGTCTTTTTATTTGACTTTCTGTTAAAAACAAACAAATAAAAATCACATAACCACACTTAATCCCATCTTTTTCTGTTTAATTTTAACAAAAATTCTTATAAAAGAACTTAAATGGGACAAATTTAAAATTTAGGAAACAAAGTGAGAATTTTCAAAATTAAAAGACTAAAGTGGAAATGATCCTAAAATTTAAGAGCACTAGTGAGATCAATCTAAATTTTATTTGCAAAATGATTGCAAAACGATAAAAACGACCATTTTTTTTTTTTTTTTACAAAGAACTAAAAATGACAAAGGTTAATCTTCCAATTTCAGTTTATTGGGCAGTAATTACCAAGCAATGGAATTTTTATATTTTTCCGAAAGGACGAAACAATCTTAATAGAAACATGAAAAACTTAAGGTAGTTTAGAATTTGGAGATCATCTAAGTGTGGGAAAACATTTTATAGATTAAACTTGATTTGAGAACTATTTATTGAAAAACACGCATAACTCAAATAGGAGTAAACTTAAGCCTTGTTCAGTTTATTTATTTGAGTTTTTAATTTGATATGAGATGTGATTTTATGTGAGAATTTTTTATTATAGAGAAAAAAAAATTAAATGTGACATTTTGTGAGAGTTTTTAACTATAGTAAAATTAAAATTGAAAACTCAAATAGATAAAATGAATGAGACTTTAATTTTAACATTGTAAGAGAGAATATTTTTTGTTTAGGCAACTATCTCGGTTATGCTTCTGGTAAAGTTGCAATCATTTTTCTACAATTTTAAATCTTTTTCTTTCCCTTTGAATCATATTCTTACCTACTGTATTCCTAAAAATGTTAATTACAATTAAAATACATCATATACAATTGAACATATACTAAAATTTTTTAGTCGGAAATTACAAGTCCTAGCCTAGAAGGTACAGAGCTACGTACATAGCAGTTGAAGCACGTGCCCACACATAACGATTAGAAAAGCATATATATGAATCTGATTTTAGAGCCCGTTTAGTTCGCTGATTCGAGTTTTTAATTCGAGTTGAGATGTGATTTTATGTAAGAGCTTTTTACTGTAGTAAAAAAGTTAGATGTGATTGTTTGTGAGAGATTTTTACTATAGTAAAACTCGAATTCTAAACTCGAATCAACGAAATGAACGGGGCCAGTCTTCCGCTTTCTAATTGATGGACGTGTCAGACATGTGTCATTGTAGCCGGTTAAAAAATTAGTGTGATTCTCTTATATTGAGTTTAACAGTTATTATTTTAAAAATTAAAAGTCATTTTTAAACATATGACAATAAATAACGGTCATGCACATTTATTAATAATAATTATATGAATAATATTAAAATGCACATTAATAAACGACTGTCGTTTTTAATATGAATAATAATATGGATAAATGTCATTTTTACTGTTAATATCAGTCTTTTTATCGTATCCAACTGTCATTTTTAAACATAAATAATATTGTTGTGAAGGATTATATTTGTCATGCTTTTTTTATAGATCACATTTGATTATGCATGAACATTTATTTGGAGCAGTGCATATTACCATATGCTTAAAAATAATTTCTGATTCTCAAAATAATAACTGTTATGACTCAATATAAGAGAATTATGTCAATTATTCAGCCGGTTAAGATAGAGAAAATCTCCTCCATAAAAGTGTTGCTAGTCCAAAAAAAAAATGCCATATATGAAAATAAACTTTAAGATACGTATCCCATTAACTCGGTTTTTTGCCTCCAGTGAACCAAGGGCATCCTCATTATTTATTTGCCTTCAATTAGTTCTTTTCATGATTATTTATTAAGCATCTTCTTTTCCATTTTCAAGTTTTAAAATTCTTTTTTCCTTTTTTTTTTTTTGAAAATTTTATTTTCTTTTTCTTTTTTGTGTACCCGTACAGGTTAAAAGTTTTGAACCCTTCTCTTTAATTCGATGCATGCCTTCTTTTTCTTTGCCTTTTTTTTTTTTTTTTTTTTTAAGAAAATTCGTTGCGTGCCTATTCTTCTTACTTGGCGTACTATTTTTAACTTTGTTGTTCTCATTGACATTTTACAACTTTTCAACTTCTTTTTTTCCCGTTAGATTTTCTTTGCAATGCCCTCATTAAGGTGTGTAACTTATATTTCATTTTAATTTTCAAGATAAATGATACTAGTTTTTTTTAGCAAAGTAGGATACTATTATTTAATATGTTAGCTTTACGAAGAAATATTTGAAATTTTACCATTTTTCTATCATTTTAGTTTATAAACTTCGTCTTTATTTATAATGCATCCGCCACCAGTAGAAGATATATGTTTTCTTTTCTTTATTCCTATTCATCAACCACACATCATCTTAAAACAAGGGATGAGCAATACTATATAAAATCTCATCGGGCTTCATATCATACAAGTAACTATAGCTTTTTCAATCAGAATCAACGTAAAATAGATGCCCACCAAATAATTTATTGATCTGCTACATGAAGTGGAGAACAATCCTGATTAGATTTTAGAATTAAGACATATGTACTACGGCCCGTTCATTTTACTGATTCGAGTTTTACTACAATAAAAAACTTTCAAAAACAGCTACATCTAACTTTTTTATTACAGTAAAAAGCTCTCACATGAAGTCAGATCTTAATTCAAATTAAAAACTCAAATCAGCGAATTAAATGAGTCTATAGTCATTATAAATGAGGAGCAAGTAAGAAAGCAAAGAGCTAAAAATAAGAAAAGAAGAACAATAAAGTGAAAAACAAATAATATATTATATTGGTATATGTCCATTATTGTCCCTGTACTTTTTTCAATGATCATTTTGTTATGCATAATTCAGTACTGTTTTTACTCATTGATTCGAGTTTCAATTTCAATTTTATTACAATTAAAAGCTCTCATAAAAAGTCACATCTAATTTTCTTATTACAGTTAAAAGCTTTCACATAAAATCGCATCTTAGCTCGAATTAAAAACTCAAATCGGTGAACTGAACAAGACTAGTGGGTAAGTTTTTTAATCTTTGACCACTTTCGTTATTGAACTCTAGGTCTATTAATTTTGGCCTGTGGCTTTCTCTCCAAAAATGGTTTTGTGTGTGTGTGTGTGTGTGTGTGTGTGTGTGTGTGTGTGTGTGGAGGTGACCTTGCCACATTTAAGGGAAAAAATGAAATTGACTAATAATTTGACAAGCAGGAGACTTTGTTGCATTAAGGTTTCTTTAGCCTCGTTCATTTCACCGATTCGAGTTTTCAGTTTTAGATTTTTACAGTAAAAAGCTCTCAGAAAATGTCACATCTAACTTTTTCTGCTACAGTGAAAAGCTCTCAAAAAATGTCACATCTAAATTCGAATTGAAAACTTGAATCCACGAAGTGAACGAGGCCTTTTTATTTCCTTGGCAATTTTCTATCATAATCTGAATTATTGAAATGTGAGGAAACAGTTAAGCATGAGTACAATTATATTAATTCATGACTAAGAATTAATATAGTGTGAAAATACTAGGAGTGGCAATTCGTGTCACGTGTCGTGTTTGTGTCGTGTTTTGATCATTTTTTTAAATTTATAGTCAACCCGAACACGACCCGTGATACGAAATTTTTTAAAAACCGCAACACGAACACGACACGACCACTTTACGAGTTGACACGACACGACCCGAAAATGACCCGTGACACAAAATTGACCCGTGAACCCGAAATTGACACGAAAATTGTATACTTTTATTTAGTTTTTTACATATTAGAAATAACTTAAAATTCATAACACACTAAATTACAATAACATCTATTGAAGTTAAGCAAATAATAATATAAGATTTTGAGTATAACTATCATGATATCACAAGTTCATATAAAAA